ACACACACACACACACACACACACACACACACACACACACACACACACACTGGAGTCTCCTCTCACTCTGACATCATCTCCCTATGACACCCCTCTGTTTCCCAGACTGATCACAGCTCTGGAGCTCCAACACCAGAGCTTAACAGTGTCTCTCTGTTTCTCTCTCTTTCAGGTCAGTGGATTCGCCATTGTTCTCATTTTTGCTGTCTCTTACTTCATATATTTGATGTTGTTGTGCTGTAGAGAACCAGAAAAGAAATATAAACACAGGTACAAGAAGACACAGAGGAAGGAGAGAGAGGAGAGTGTCAGGAAGTTTGCAGAAGAACGTGCCAAGCATGAGGTCAGACTGATCGAAGAGATACTGTATGAACAGAATAAAAATGAATCCAAAGAGACTCAAAATAAACCCATACACTTTAGTCCAGAGGTAGTAACTAGACTGCTGGAATATCAAATTCTCTGCACCTCTGAAACCAAGTTCCCTTTACCCTGCTCCTACTTTCTGAACCTGCAACTGATCAGAACCAATTATAAACACTGTACCCTAATGCTGAGCCTTTACCTTCTCACAGAACAAAGCCCAGTCAATGGGCAGAACCCTGACTCCTCTCAGACCCTAAGACTGCCTTTAGACCAGGTCCTAACTCCAAGAGTAACCCTTACTCTTCACACTAACCCGACTGTAACCCTTACCTTTACCAGTGTTACCTTTAACACTGACTCCACACTGACACTGAGCTTCAAATCTTCCAAACGTGAAAACTGCACCATCTATAAGAACACCTACATCTTAGAAATAACCTCTGACCCCGAACCTCAATTAAAACTCACCCCCACTGGCAAACCTGTACCTGCTGGAGTCCCGACATATTCAGTAACCCTGCCTTCACCCCTCGCCAAAACCTTCTTACTGATCCGAAACACAGACAGTTCTCTAACCCTCATCTTGAATCCTGACTCTGACACTGGACAAGATGACACAGAAGCTCATTCTCCAGGCACTGGCGGTCATACAGGTGGTCAGAGGGTCAGTCAGCAGGGTGGCAGTACAAGTGATCAGCGGGTCAGTCAGTCTGGTGATAGTACAAGTGATCAGAGGGTCAGTCAGCAGGGTGGCAGTACAAGTGATCAGAGGGTCAGTCAGTCTGGTGGTAGTACAAGTGATCAGAGGGTCAGTCAG